TTCTCTCTCTCCCTTTTAAATAGAGAGTTATGCTTCCTTCACAGTGGTTTGTAATCACAATACAATTGTAGTGCTGAGTTTTTGTTTTCACTTTGTTATACATAATTTCTAACAGCTATGCAGGGGATATCTTAATTTTCTTACCTTTTCCTAAAAAAGGATATTCATGAGTTTGCCTTTTTCTTACTATTAATAAAAATATTTTGGGGTGTAATTTCATACAGCTTTTAGTGGATAGATTCTCCTGAAGTTGCATCAGTGAGTCAAAAGACATATCCTTTTTAAGATGAGTGGTGGTGACACACACCTGTAACCCCAGCGACTTGGGAAGCTGAGGCTGCAGGATCCCAAGTTCCAGGCCAGCCTCAACAACATTATTTTTAATCATGTTTCTTCTTTGGTGATGTATCTATACAAATTTTTTGACCACTTTTTAAATATAGTTTGTTTTCTTATTGACTTGGGAGTGTTCTTTATATATTCTGGATACAAACCCCTTATTAGTTTTTAACCTTTTATAAATATTTTCTTTTTTTTACACTTTTTTTAAAATATTCATTTTTTAGTTGGACACAATATCTTTATTTTTTTATTTTTATGTGGTGCTGAGGATTGAACCCAGGGCCTCGCACTTGCTAGGGGAGCACTCTACCAATGAGACACAACCCAGCCCCTTTTATAAATATTTTCTCCCAGTCTGTGCCTTGTCGTTTCATTTTCTTAACTATGTCTTTCAAAGAACAGAAGTTTTTAGTTTTGATGAAGTCTAATTCATCAATTTTTTAATCCCATAGTTCGTCTAGTCCAAGAAATATTTGCCCATACCAAAGTCACAAGGGTTTTAAAGTTTTATAGCTTTAAGTTACATTTAGGTCTATGATCAACTTTGAGTAAATTTTTGTACATGACCTGTGTGGGTTGAATTTCATTGTTTTTTTGTTTTTGTTTTTTGCATATGAATGTCTAATGAGCCCAATATCCTGCCAAATTAAACATGTATGGGTCTGTATCTGATCTCTGTATCCATACATTTTGTTACCGATTTTTGGCCCCAAACTAGGTCCTCTTTCTCTCTTGGGATTGTGGAACCAATAACAGGACTGAGCACAATTGAACAGTGAAGGATGGTTTATTCCTGGTCAAGAACAGGAGAAGTGGGGAATAAACCTGCAAGTCAACTTCTCAGCTCATTGCGGGTTGGGAATTTATGGATGGAAAAGGAAGGAAATGAGGGCAGGGAAGGGCTAATAAAGGGAGGAATATTCGTGTATTTTCTGGGAATAGGTTGGAAATTACCCTGGAATTCAGGCACCACCTCTTTCTGCTCCTTTTCTGGTTCTTTCTGATTGTCTGCCTGGCAATTGTTAACTGTCAGTGGCGTTGGGTGGGGGTCATTTATTAAGAAGATAGATTATAGTGCACTTAGAGGTTGTCTGGTGGTCATAGATCCAAACAGTTTTGTCCACCTCGCTGGCTCTGGAACTTCTGGTCTACAGGCAACCTTCCTCAAAGATGAACAAGATTGGGTGGGTTAGAAATTCAGCTGGGTCACTTAGGCAGTACAAGATTAGGGAGGGTAGCATTTTGTCTGTAGCACACTGTCTTGATTGCTGTAGTTCTGTAATCAGTCTTGACCTTAGATGATACTCCTCCTTTTTTTTTTTGTTCTTTTTCAAAATTGTTTGGCTTGTCTCCATTATTTACAATTCCATGTACATTTTAGAGTTAGCTTGTCATTTTCTCAAAAAGGCTTTCTGGGTTTTTGATCATGACTGTGTATGGATCAGTCCAAACTCAGATAACTGTAAAAGTAAAAAGGACTTTATTTGGGTTCTTAAAAATTGCCATTTGGCCTGGATGTGGTGGTACATGCCTGTCATCCCAGCAGTTTAGGAGGCTGAGGCAGGAGGATTGCAGGTTTGAAGCTAGCCTCAGCAACTTAGTGAAGCTGTAAGCAATCTAGTAAGACCCTCCCTGAAAATAAAAAAATAAAAAGGGCTGGGGATATGGCTCAGTGGTGAGTGTCCTTGAGTTCAATCCCTGGTACCCAAAATTGCCATTTGGGAGACACAGGTTCAGATAGTTCTGAATCAGTGTTCTCTGGAAGCCAGAATAAATGGGAGCTAATATGAGCTCTTGAATGTTGAGAGGAACAGGGGCTACATGAGGTTGGAAGATGAAGAAAAGAATCATGAACAGAATGGAAGTGTTAATAAAACAAGAATTCAATCTCTTGACATGCGTTTTGAGCCTCTGGGCACAATGTAGCTGTCTGGTCATTAGGTCATTCAGGCCAGTCCAGATGCCAGTGAGTCTAAGGGTGGATTCCTAGGCAGCAGGTAGAATCCTGCACAGTGCTGCCCCTTTCTTGGCCTCCCAGGGCCATTCTGAAATGCTCTTTATGTGTCACTTTCAAAGTAATTTTCCTTTTATTTTGCACATGTCAGGTCTGTGAGTCCCTTTGTGGAAAAATGACATCTGAACACTATTAACTCCTCGATCGTGAAACTGATACCTCTGTCCATTTATTTAGGTCTCAATTTTCTGTAAGGTTCTTAATACATTTTGTCAAATTGAAGGTTGATCTTCTACTATCTTACACTGTTTTTAGCACATGATTTGTGGCTAATAAATCAACATTTTCCTGCCAAGCACGCGCGTGCACACACACACACACACACACACACATACACATACACATATTCTCTCTCTCCTTCCTTCCTTCCTTCCTTCCTTCCTTCCTTCCTTCCTTTCTTTCTTTTTTTTTTTTTTAACTAGGGATTGAACTCTGGGGTGCTTTACCACTGAGCTAAGTCTTCAGACCTTTTTATTTTCGATTTTGAGACAGGGTCCTCACTAGTTGCTGAGGCTGCCCTCAAATTTGCAATCCTCCTGCCTCAGCCCCCTGAGTCCCTGGTATTACAGGCATGGGCTGCCCTGCCTGTCCAACAGCTCTCTCAGTTATGCTTTCTCTCCCAAGCCTTTTGCCCCCTCACTTCCATACTCAGTGGCTTGTGATACATTGTTTTATTTCTTTTGAAGTTTGTAACTCTTTATAAATATACACTCAATAAACTATATATATAAGAGTACATTTTGAGAAATATTCCCAAAATGAAAATACCAGGTCAAGCAACAGAACACTGGCAGCAACCCAGAAGCCTCGCTGTGACCCCTGACAGTGCTGCCAAGAAGAGCCATGTCCCAACTTCCACTCCACAAGTAGCTTTGTCAGGGCTTAGCTGCAAGGGACCTACCTCTGGGTCCCACCTCCTTGCTGTGCTTCTTTCTCTTCTGTATTTTGCTAGTCCCTAAAATGCCCACCCCTCTTCTGCCTTCTCCCTCCTTATTTCTTCCTTCAGCTTCCTCAAAATGTCCTCTTCATCAAGTTCTCCTTCCCTAGGAAGTCCTCCTGTCCTCCCCGGCTTCCGTCCACCTTGCATTTGCCTTCGTTGACATGTTCATCGTGGTGTGTTGAGGCTTTCAACTTTCTGAAACCTGGAGCAAGTTTTTCTGTAGACCCAGGATGTTCTGTGGGGCCTGGCATACAGCAGGAGATGAGTGGCTGTATATTGGGTGAATGCTGAGTGCCTAGGAAACCGACTCCCCAAAAGAGGGAGGTCCTTGTTCACAGAGGTCCCCTGGCTTCCAGTCGTCACTGGCTTCTCGTCCAACCCCTTCTCTCCCTTGCGTTCCCTGACATTTGGTGATGTATTTCTCTGTGGCCAAGCTGCTTCTGGAGCAAGACAGTATCATAGCTCATCGAGCTTTTTCCGTATCACTTTTGAGACAAGTGAGAGAGCTTGATGCCCTTGGCTCCTCATCTGCAGTGAAAGAGCAATAGCGTTCCACCTGCTCAGTCTGTGACCAGTCTCTTATTTCAGCGTCACAGGTGCACAGGTAGCTGACTCTGGGCAGTGCTGAAGTCCCGCATCCATTCACCCCGCTGCCAACACATCTTGGGATGCCTTTTCACTTAGTAAGAAGTGGCCATATATACCACTTGTTTGTTGCTCTGTGTCAGAGTCTAGCTTCTTCTGATCATAATGACTGGGAGTGTTTATGTGCCACATTGGGGCCACAGTGACAGATGTGAAAAATAGAGTCCTTCCCTTGCCACACAGATTGCATTTAGCAAGGGTACAGCCCAAAGACTGGGTAAATTCCCAGGCATGATGGTGCATGACTATAATCCCAGCAGTTTGGGAGGCTGAGGCAGGAGGATCACAAGTTTGAGGCCAGCCTTGGCAATGCAACAAGACCCTGTCTCCAAACAAATAAATAAAAATGTGACTAAGTGGTAAAGCATCCCTGGGTTCAATCCTCAGTACCAAAAAAAAAAAAAAAAAAAGATTGGATAAATTCCATTTAGTGAAGCAGGAAGGAGGAAAAGAGCTTATCTGACTGACTTGAGACATGAAATGGTTCTGTTAATAACTGGAATGGTTTACATCTGCCAGAATAGAATAGACAGCAGTTCTTACCAACTCCTCAAACATCAGACCTGTCTCCCCGTCTCTTGTTTATTTGAACTCTGGTCCTGAGTGCCTCATGTCTAACTGGAGGACTGAGATGTTTATTTAACTATTATTTAACTATTATCTCAGACAAACCCAGCCAGAGCATGTGATGGGGTGGCTGGAGTGGATCTGGGGAAGGAATAATAGGTGAGGTGAAAGAGGGGCAGATAGGAAGGAGATGTCATTGGAAGGAGCAGGACGAATGTGATGACCTGGGGGGGGGGGGGGAGGCACACGAGCTTGTGTGGGCAAAGGCCTAGAGATTTGTCTGTGCATCTAGGTTTCCTGGGCCCAGGCTGTAGGTCTGTTAAGCCTCTGCAGAACCTATTGCCAGAGGCTTAAAGAGTGGGCCATAGAGGAGCATGGCCGGGGCATGCCTGCGATTAGACTACAAGCCCTGGACATGGGCCAGTGTCCCACGGATGCACCAGGGAAGGCTTGGGCAGGAGGACTCTTGACCTTCCACTTTCTGTCCTGCAGGAGAAAATCGGCTGGCGAAAGGATGCCCTTCACTTGCTGGTGTTCACAACGGACGACGTGCCCCACATCGCGCTGGATGGAAAACTGGGGGGCCTGGTGCAGCCACATGATGGCCAGTGTCATCTGAACGAGGCCAACGAGTACACTGCATCCAACCAGATGGTGAGGGGCAGCCAGGCTCCGAGGGGGACCCCTCCCTCGCAGTGTTCACCCCACCTCTGATCCTTTCTCTGGCCCTCAGTCCTCACTGGCCTTTGGTCGGTTCTTGGTCTCATCCTTTTTTCTCTCTTCTCCAAGTGGGTTTCTGGAACTCCTCATTAACTTGGGACATTTCCCAGGGATTTCTGTAGCAGGTTCATCTTTCTGCCATTATGTATCCAAGTGGAGAGATTTTTGGTAGAGGAAGAAGGTAACCGGGGGAGTCGGGAGAGACCATGGGCAGAGGGGATCTTAAAGGAATGTGAGGAATGGTTTCCTACAGAGCTCACAACTGGGATGGAAGTCACAGGGAGGATTCCTGGCTTCTAGAAATGGCTCTCTGAGACAATGAGTTCCCTGTCAGTGTCAGAGGGGCAGCAGGTGGACTGCTGGACCAGGAGCCTTGGGGATCCTCCACTCCCAATAGCCTATGACAAATAGCCACTTAATTTAAAAGAATTTATACAGAACTTCAAACACATATAGTAATAGACAAGCACGGCGAACCCCTGCATACCCATTACCCAGCCCCAACAACTCTCGAGCTCTTGCCACACATACAATATGGTCTTTTCCAGAAATCTGTACCTTCTTCTTTCCCAAATCCATTCTGGTGTCTGGCCGGGAAGGAGCTGTTCCCAATTTTCTTTGTGAGACAAGCCCATTTTTCTCCAGTTTCAAGAAGTGATCATGTCGAGGCCTTCCAAATTATCCAGAAGTGGTGGAATATGGAGAAAAGACTCGAGACTGTAGGACCTCAGCTGATGGCAACCTCTGTGCCCCTCAGCAGACCTTAAAATCCTTAAGGACCCTTTTAACTGCTTCTCAGCCTCCTCCTGCCTCCTGGCTCTGCATCCCACCCCATGGCCAGCTTTTAGCCCAGTGGTCAGCAGCCTCCTCCTCCTGTTCGGAGCTATGAGCGGAGGCTGTGGTTGGGCACAAGAAATGGAAAATAGGGCAAGGGAAGGTCTTAGGGCAGAAAGGGAAGCACAGAGTGCTGAAGGCAGATGGTAGGACACAGTGGTTGTTCTCCTTGGGGCCTCAGAATCTTGCTGGAGGATGGAGACACAGCAGCCTGGAGAAGCCCCAGTCCTCATTTAACCACTCTGGGGTGTCTGGCAAGTACCTCAGGGTCCTTTGGGCACCTCTGCAAAGTCCCTCAGTCAGGAGCTGCTACTGGGGATTGAGGGTTCTGAGGGGCCACCTGAGGGAAACCTTTCCTTTTCATGGTAAATGTGGAGCAGCTGAATGTGTGTTGGAGCAGGTGCTGGGCTCTCAGCTCATCCCAAGTGTCACAGCCTTGATTTTCCCTGGCCCTAGGACTATCCGTCCCTTGCCTTGCTTGGAGAGAAGCTGGCAGAGAACAACATCAACCTCATTTTTGCAGTGACGAAAAACCACTATATGCTCTACAAGGTATGCCTTGGGGTGGGGATGGAGGGTGGCCTGGTTCTGGGGCTTCACTGACTCTAAGGGAGGTTAGAACGGGAGTGGGAGAGTGGTAAGGCCTGTTCCCAGCCCTGCTCCGTGTGGCGAGAGACAAAGGAGGAGTGCAGTGTAGCTCTGACTTGATCCAGTGAAAAAATCTTATATTGAGGAAAACTCAAGCATTCGCACAGCCATGAATATCTTTACAAGGAATTTAAACTTATGGTATTCAGTTTGATTCTGAGAGAATCCTTGAAAATGGTGTGAATCCCCACTTTTCTGTTGATGAAATGGAAACGTGGAGGGGCATACTCTATAGGGAAGGGAAATAAGTGCAGATGTGCACTTAAATATTCAAGTAAGCAGCCTGCATCACTACTTCAGCATTCTTTATGCCTCACTAGCAGAGAGTGGTGATCAGGGGGTCATCTGGGATAGGAGCTCCCCAAGAGAACAGCCAATGTCCTGATGGCACGGAGCCATCTGTAGGGTCCTTTCCATCTAATGAGACTGTTCCCAGGTTGGTTGTCCTGTCATGCATCGTCATCAGCTCCCCTGTGAGCACTCTTTCCTGCCACAATGGGCAGGTCACACATTGAACTCGAAACCCGAGATACACAACTTCTGTGAGCTGAAGGTGAAGCCCACCCTCACCTCTGATGTCCTTTTTGCTGAGAGGTTAGGAAACTTCACCAGGAATCCCCTAAATATTCACAAAGAATCCTGTCTGATCCTGTCTTTCTATGACTCTTGTGAAGACTATCCCTGGTGAAAAGCCACAGGTGTCTTTTGGAATTCTTGAGCTTCTTTTTGTGTGAGTCTGTTCTAGACAATGAAAACAGGGAGGAGAATCTGTTGCTGCTGTTTTGTTTGTTTGGAAAATGGCAGGCTGATGCGTTTTACAAAGTACATTTTTAGAGGGATTAATGGGTATGTACTGTCGTGGGCTTCCAGATGTTTTATGAGAAGAGAAAAGAAATCCTACTCAGCTTTAGCCATCCTTTCCCAGAACCAAGTCCCCTGGCTCAGGGAAGTGCCTCATAAGGGACTCTGCAGAGTGCCATAAATGTGGACTTTCTGTTTTTGGAAAGTGGATTTGTCAGATTGCCATCATCAGTAACTTTTTGATATGGAACATGATTGAAGCCAGGGAGGATGTTACATGCAATAAAAACTAAAAAAAAAAAAAAAAATAAGGGATTTGCAGGCTGAGGGCAGTGGCTGCTCCATCCCTGTTACAAGAGCCGTGTTTAGGAGTTAGTACTGAGGGAAGAGGGCAGCCAGTCCTTCAGGGCCGCCTGCTTTGTCCCAAGACCACACTCAGAGGTATCTAGAGGTCCTTGGGAGGGCACCCTATTGGTCCTCAGCTCCCTATTGAGGAAAGAAAGTGTACTTGAGACCCTTGGGAAACTTGCCCTTTGCACTCCTGGGGACAGACAGTATATCCTGGAAGTCGAACATGGGATCACCTGTGTAGACCAGAGGAGTGAGGGCAAGAAAAACATGTCCTCCTCAGAGGATGGACAGAGGCTGTCCCTAACAGGCCAGAGGGGCAAGGTCTCTGAGACTTTGTGCTTTAGGGCAGGTTTGTCAGCCTTTTTCCGCAGGCTCTGGGATTCCTCAGCCATTGCAGCAAGTCGGTCCTTGCACCAGTTCTTCTCACCTTCCCTTTTGGCAGCTTCTCCCATGTGTGGTGCAGGAGGGTGGCCCAAGAGTGCCAGGCCCTTAGTGTTCTAGTCAGTAGAGGAGTGTTCACTCTGATGGAACGGAAGGCAAAATGGACTTACTTCCTTCTTTCTTTTTCAAGAATTTTACAGCCCTGATACCTGGGACCACAGTGGAGATTTTACACGGAGATTCCAAGAACATCATCCAGCTGATTATCAATGCATACAATGTAAGTCTCTGCCTTGGCCCCTATCACCTCCTCCATCCTGCTCACTCCTACTGAGTGCCTGGGGACTGATGTGGGTTCAGGGGGGCAGTGCGTCGTGCTCGTGGACTCAGCTCTGCTCTGACCCTACTTCCCTCCGCAGTCTCCACCCTCTCATCCTTGGCTGGTCCCAGTGAGCCAGCAAGTGGCTCAGTGAGACTCAGGCCCACAGCCTGGGGTCACCTCCAGTTCTGATACCTCTTGTGGGTGTGTGCTGGTGCTCTCCACCCATCCAGTTGCCCAGATGGTTCTGAACAGCATTTATTCCCTGGGTGAGGCCAGCAGGGCATCCGCTAGCCACAGCTGCAGGCTGTGAGAAGTGAGAGGCATGTGCTCCAACCTTTGCCTCACAGCAAGCAGGTCAATTGGAATTCCTTATCCTCGTAGGACTCAGTGGAGAACTGCAGACTAACAGGGACAAAGGGGACACAAGAAAAAAATCAATGTCATTTTGCCCACACACTGAAGACTTGATTGCAATTGAGCCCTTTCGGAGGGATTCTGAGTGGCACATGAGATTCTGTGCTGTTGTAACTCGTCTTGGGCTCATGGCTCTAGTGTGAGTGCAGGAGCTCGTGGACATGATTTAGGAGTCACTTCCATATCTCAAGCCAATCATTCAAGGAATCACTTCCCAAATCTTTCTTCTTTCCACCATCCTTTCCCTCAGTTCATGACATCCAAGAAACACTTGTCTCAGACCCATCTTCCCTGAGGAAATGGTGAGCACAATTTTTTGAACTGGGAAGTATGTTCCCTTGGCCATTCCCTCCCCGCTAGGCTCAATATGGTTGCAGCATCCAGTACCCGCCATGCCCTCAGGGGTGGGGTAATTTCTAGATTAGACTTCAGAATCATCAGCCTGTTGAAATAAAGTATCATGAAGTAACACTATTAGTCCCAAATTTACATAAAATAGACTTGTGGGCTAACCTGGGAACCTCTCAGTAAGGCATTACATATCTGTGATAAGAATCATCTTGCTTTCCCTGCAGTGACTGATTTATAAATGAGTAATTTGGAACCCTGCCTTTCCCAGTGTTGACTTTGTCCACCTACAGATGTGGCCCTATTTTGAGTTACAAAGTGCTGCTCAGCTAAACCAGGAGTCACTGAGGGACCTTAGAGTCAGGGTGTAGCCAGCCCAGCACCTTGTCTCTCTGAGACCCAGTACCTAATGACAGCAGATTGGGCAGTGTGAGGACTTCTGGCTAGTTTGCCCTCCCTTCCTCCTGGCCATGTCAGCCCATCTCCTGTGATACTTCGGGCTCCTCTTCCTCCCTTACTAAGTTCCCCACATACTAACATCCTCTGACATTTAAATCCTCACAAGATCCAGTGGCCACCTCGGAGCCCAGAGCCCAGTGAGACAGTGTTTCCAAATTGACTTATACTTTAGTGGTTTTCAGATTATACAGTGAGTAATCTGGTTTGCATTTCAGAAAGAGGGAGAACAATTTTGCTTGGTTACGTGGGCACAGCAGATCTGCTGAAACACCACATACTGAGAGGGCTTTGAGAAGGGAGTGTGAGGGAAGGCCCAGGCCTGGCAAGGTCACCTCTTTCCTGGGATCTCTCCTCACTGGAAGCTTCTCAGGTCTCAAGCGCTGGACACTGAACTAAAGGAATCATGATCAAAGGAGCAGCCTCATCTGCGCTCTGTGGGGTACTGAGAAGACTGCTCCTGGGCTTCTGGGGAGAAGCTCCTTCCCGGCATTTCTATCCTCAGCTCAAGTTCAGACCCAACAGCAGCCGACAGACCTCCTGGGCTCCCTCAGAGCATTTCCTGGTGAGGGCCCAGGCCCTCTGCCCCTGTGGCTTTGATAAAGAGAGCATGATGACACATAGTTCCATAGAACTGGCTGGGTGGAGTTTGCCAGAAACAGGGAAAGCTCGGTGCATCAGCATTTTCCTGTGGCTGAGGGGATCTGGATGTCCATGCATGTGTGGAGATTACACACAAGCATGGACATACTGGATCATATATCCTTTATTATAGCTTTTATTAACATACCTGTAAACATAAGTTAGGTTTTTCCCTGCATTCTTTAAGCCCATCCTAATACATTAATTGAACTTGAGGAAGACATCATGGAAACCCTAATTTATTTCTTTGATTTTATTTTATATTGGTGCAATCTAATTATATATAATAGTGGGATTCCTTGTGCCATATTCACACATGCACATTACATAATTTGATCAATCTCATTCCCCAGTAGCTTCCTTTTCCCTTCCTTCCTCCTCCCTATTCAGGAGTCCATTTGTTCTGTTCTACTAATCTCCCTTTTATTTTTATTATTATTATTAAACTAGTGCATTATAATTACATATATATGCAGGATTCATTGTGGTATATTCATACATGAACCTAGCATAATTTGGATAAGAACCCAGATTTATAGCCAGTGGGTCAGAGATTAAGTCACAACCTACCACTTACAACTGACATTCGAAGTGTGTGGGGGTCCTTATAGAATTGAGCTCCCCACCTGTGGCATCTGACACTTGTCTCCAGGTAGACAGTGTCAGAACTGAATTGATTTGAATTACAGGCCACACGGCTGGATGGAGGATTGCCTGGTGTGTGGGTCGGGGGTGGAGGGATTCCCACCCCTCTGGTGCCAGCCGCGTCGTGTTGGATCGTGTGGAGACTCGAGAGTAGGAATGGAGCTTTGTTTTTCCTTCAGGTACCATCCTCTTGCTGCTGTCGGGTGGCAGTGGGGAGGCCCAGGTTGGGCTCCAGGCTCCTGGCACTTGCCCTGGATGCGAGTCTGCCCTGGCTGTCGTGTGTGGGGTGCACTTTGGCCAGCAGGAGAGGCTCTCCACAGCCCTTCGCCTGCTGCTCTCTGGCCAGGGTCTGGTCACAGCTCTGCTTTACTATTGCATTTCCGGTGTTACCTTCCCATTGGAGCAATTTGTGGTGGATTTCGTGTGAGTCAACACAACACAAGACTAAGCGGGGGTGTTGACTCTTCCCTCCCCTGGAGGGCTGGCCAGTGCTCTGTGGGCCACTCTGAGGTTTGGGTTGGAGCATATGTAGCGGATGAGATGGCCGTGGTATTTGGCCTGCTGAGGAGGGAGCCGAGCGCAAAGGGAAGGTGTAAGGCGGTGTCTTGTGGAAGCAGCCTGTTGCATGCAGCTTTTGTAATGTGCATCTGTCAGCTCGTGGGTTTATACATTTTTTTCTTGCTGTCCCCAATTCTTCAGTGTGAGAAATCACCATGTCCTCCTGAGGGAGTTTGGCAGCCTGGAACTTGGCCTGGAGCAGGTCCCGGTGAGAGGTTCTCTCTCAGCGCTCAGCCACAGGCCCCGGGTCCGTACTCACAGATGCCAGCAGCATGCCCCACTGATAAGGGGGTGGGGGGTGGTAGGACTCAGACAGAAATCATGGGCCTCTTTAAAGTGGGAGAGGACAGAATGAGCTAGAAACCACTTGGGCTGCATGTGGAGTGACATCAGCCGTGGCGTGTTTTCCCCTATCCGGGCACATGTTTCTCTTTTGGTTGTTGCCATAAAGTCTGCTCCACCCACTGCACAGCTGGCCTGACTTAAAGCAATTACAGATGTGACCTAACCTGACCGGGTACGTTACAGAATAGGCTTTAAACTTCTGACATTCTTGACATTGTCTCCTTTTCCTAGGAAGGGGAATAGGAATCATGTCCAGAGGGAAGTCTGGTAGGAATTATATTGAGTTCCAGTGAGCCACATATAAAGGCCTTACTGCGTAAGAACTTCCTGCAGCTTTGATTCTCTATTATGTCTTGCCCTTCCTTCCTTCATCCACAGATGTACCCTAATGGCCTGATGGGTGGCAGGCGTCATGCTACATCATGGCAATGTAGCAGTGAACCGAACACAGCCCTGCTCTCCAGAAACTCACCCATTTGGGGGAGACCAACCCATACCTCCAATCAGGGTACTCACTTCCCAAAGTCAGAGAAGCAGTTCCACAGAGAAAAGTGTGTCTCTGGTGAGAGGGTTTGGGTACGTACCAGGGGGATGGAGAGAGTCTGCTGCTGGTCCTGCATGCCTCCAGCAGCTAAGCCTGGGCCTTGGTTTTTGCTACTTTCAATGAGAGGTTTGAACTCAATCATCTCCATGGTTTCTGCTACCTCTAACATCCCAGGAGTTTCTGACTCCCCAGCACTGTGGGGAGCAGGAATTCAGGTCAGAGCACAAGCTCAGGGTCTTGTGGCCTAAGTAGAGGATAGGACTGGATCTCCATCCTGTTGCAGTTACTGAACCACAGAGTAGGAGTCCCCATCACTGGTGTTCTTTCTCCTCTTGCCAAGTCCTCCATTAACAGATCAGCGGCAGCTTTGGCAGATCTCGGTGGGGAAATGCCAGTGCTTCCTTCCAACGTTTTGCTGCTGCTGGACCACAGGGCCCTCATATTTCAAGTGACTGTTTTCAATTTTTGGTGTAGCTCTGGTCTACCTAACTCTTTTATGGTATGCTGTTTTATCTCATCCTCGTACTTATTAACAATTATAAATAAATTTTTAAAATTTAATTTGTCTTTAAAAATAAGTTTAATTTTCATCTGCTTGGCCTAAGTTATTTAGCCCTATTAAAACATTCATTCTTTCGTCCATCCCATTATTCAAAAAGCGCTTGTGCTGAGTCTCAGAGAGGTATGCGTCATGGCCCTCGGAACTCACATACAGTTGGAAGACAGATCTGCAAAGAGCTGCTCAGCTAGAGAATGCCATGTTGAGTATTGCCTTTGTGACCCTTGACCAGCTAAAGCTGGCACTTACAAGAGGAAGTAGATTTAAGAAGAATCATATTTTTAGAGTGTAGAAGCACTTAAACAATTGGCTGCAAAGAGAGAGACTTTTTTTTTTTTTTTTTGCAGAGTATTTTCAACAAGCTGTTAATTTGTTTGGAAAACTGAATATTTCACTTATTCAAGTTTAACACTATATGCTCAGCAAAAAAAGAAAGAGAAAAGAAAACCTACAAGAGGCAATTCTGCCTGCTGTTCTGTTCGACAGCTGTTCTCCCCGGGGATGCACCTGAGAAGGAGGGCCGTGGGAGCCTGGTCTGGGTTCCATGTGTCTCTCAGAGTATGATGTCTTGCTTCTGCTCAGAGTGCTTAGTGTTAGGATGGTTGTTTTCTTAATGTTTGATAAAATATGACTCTTATATACAAGCCAATTACTCCATTGACCCCTGGTCTCCAGAGTAACATCTTCCTTAGAGATTTTCAAAGGCAGTTTTTCAAAACCAACAGACATATAGAAAATCACATGAACTTTTCACCAACTGAGTATCCAGCACCTGGGTCAAAAACACAGGAAAATTCCAACACCAGGAAGTCCCTCTCTGTCTGCCAAGGGTAACCATAAGTTTTACCTGTTTCTGATCAGCAAATTGTACACTGTTTTACAACAGGGACAAAGACATACGCTGAGAAACGTATCCTTAGGTAACTTCTTCATTGTGCAAAAGTCATCATAGAGTGTACTTACATAAGGCAGATGATGGAGCCTACTGCATACCGAGGCTGTGTGATACAGCCTCTTGCTGTAGGCTACAGTCCTGAACAGCCTATTATTGTACTGAATACTGTAGACAGTTGTAAAACAATGAAGTACTTGTGTATGTAAACATATCTAAGCATAGAAAAAGTATGGTAAAAATACTGTGTATTAAGAATTTTTCAGGGCTGGGGATGTGGCTCAAGCGGTAGCGCGCTCACCTGGCATGCGTGCAGCCTGGGTTCGATCCTCAGCACCACATACAAACAAAGATGTTGTGTCCGCCAAAAACTAAAAAAATAATAAATATTAAAATTCTCTCTCTCTTAAAAAAAAAGAATTTTTCAGCTCTTATAATCTTATGGGACCACATTAGTATATGTGGTCTGTTGTGAACCAAAATGTCTTTATGACTGTAAATAGAGCCATATAACATGTAAGCCTTTGTGTCTTGGCTTCTTTCAGGCAGTGTTACATTCATGAGATTTGTCACTGTCCTTGCATGTAGTTGTATTTGGTTCATTATCATTATTGTAAGGCCTCCTACCATGTGAAAACACCGCAGGTTTTAAAATCCATTCTACTATTCTAGGCTTTTGCGTAGTTTCCAGGTTTTAGCTATTATAAACTGTATTGCTATAAACATTTCTGCCTAGGTCTGTTAGTGACGTAAACCCTTCTGTTGGGGATAATCCTCTGGTGAATGCTAGGTCTGAGGACGGCCTGACCTTTAGGAGATATTGCCTAATGGTTTCTAAAGGGCTGTCCCAACTAACACTCCAACCAGATGAACGAGAGCCCCCGATGCTCCACGTGCTTTCCGATACCTGATGTGTTCAGTCTTTTATTTTTTCTGTTCCAGTAAATCATTTTGACTTGCTTTTTGTTTCCTGCACCATCTTAACCTACACAGAAGATGGGTCTCTCATAATGTAGTTTCAGACTCATGAACAAGGAACCTCATCTGATGTGGGGGCAAGCTTGAGTGTGAAGGATGATAGGGTGGGTCCTGGAGAAAGTGCCTGCCGAACTGGTTTTGCAGGATGATAAGGTGCTGGATGGAGTGCGGAATGATCAAAGGATTGTTATCTTGGTCCTGAAAAGGCCCAAATCCTAGAGAGCACATGCCAGAATTTTTAGAAACTGTACCTGTGAAGCTGGGGTGGGGGATGAGAGGTGGCTCTGGAGAGGGAAGCAGGAGACCAAATATAACCTCTTGAAGCAGATACTAATATAATTTGGCTGGTAGATCATTATTAATGTGTCCAAGCTCATTGAGGGAGACCTCAAGTCAGCTCCACCAAGATGTTGTATGGGGGTAGAGAGGAGAAAGGGGGAGGGCAGGGAACCAAGCCTGCTGGCTCTTTCCTTGGCTAAGCCTCCTGGGTTAGAGGAAGCCATGTGGCATCCAAAAACCAGCGCCAACGTCACCTCAGCTGTGGCCTTTACTAAGTGGTTTGGGCTTTGCTGTCTCCCTCTGTTCAGAGTATCCGGTCTAAGGTGGAGCTGTCGGTCTGGGATCAGCCTGAGGATCTCAGTCTCTTCTTCACTGCCACCTGCCAAGATGGCGTATCCTACCCAGGTCAGAGGAAGTGTGAAGATCTGAAGATTGGGGACACGGTAAGTGTTCACCTCTGGTTTCTGAGCTCTTGTTAGCCTTGGCCATTAGTCTTTGGATTCTAATGACTTGTACTTACTGTTGTCCTCTGGGAGTTTGTGTTCTGTCTTCCAACTGAGGATCCTGGGGCGTTTCTTAAGCCTGCTCTGCATTTCACGCTCGGAGTCCCAGGCAGGCTGGTTAAGGAGCCCTGCTTAGTAGACCACCCTCAGTGTACTGCCACCTCAGCCTTCCTCAAGACGACACTGTGCCCCTGGAGTTTGAAACCTTTATCCTCTGAGCACGACAGGGATGCAATCCAGTGGACTGGACCCTGAGAGACCCAGCCTCCATTCTTGCTCTTCTGCAGCTTACTCTGTGCCTTGGATACATAATCTGCTCCATGCTTTTTCTTTCTGTAAAACTTGAAGAAAGCCACCCACGTGTTCTGATTTGATGAGATGAATGGCTGGCTCTACAGTACTAGAGGGAACAGGTGGCTTGCCAAATAATCGATGTAAGTGATGTATGTAATGATGGACGGCTGTATGCCACACCAAGGACTTGAGAGTGGGAGCCGGGAAGGGCTTTTATGGGTGCTAAGAACACGTGCCAATGTTGGTGCTGAGGTGGCAGAGTGGTGATGGAGGGCTGCCCACCAGAGGTCCGTGCTTCTGGGGGAAGAACAGGAGATCCGTTCCTGACTTGCTCTGTTGCTCAGAATGTCGGAAGGAAGTGAAGGAAAGCTCTCTTCCGTACTTCAGAGAATCTAGTTAGAAAAAATATATGGACTTTTTAAAAATAGATGACTCTGTCCTCTGGGCAAAATAGGTGACTCTGTCTTCAGGGCACATGTAAGCACTAATCATGGCCAATGCGTGGGTGAGCTGACTTCTCCCCTGACTCAAGGAGACGTGAGTGTGGTCGCAAGGCTGCTCACGCCTCGGCAGTGGTGTTCTGGGGTCTTCTCACTTTCCACCAAAGATCTTTCCCCGCCACCTCTCACATTGCCCTTTTCCTATTCACAACACGCAGGCCAGCCTCTCACCCCTTCCAAATCTCACAACAGAGCCGCACCCCAACAAAGAGACACTTGGAATATGACATGGAAATTGAGAGAGTCAAGATCTCTAATGACTGGGGAACAAATCCTTTTCTTTCTTTACTTTAGTAATGGAAACAAATCATCGTGTAAGACAGGTTATTTATAAGTGTCTTTGGCTTTTTAACAAACTTGAAAGAAGGCCTAATCAAGTTGTCAGATAAGTCATTACAAATGATGGCATTTCACTCAGAGGAAATTCATAGGGAAAAACAGAAGAAAAAAGGAAGAAGAGGAAGGCATTTGTAGAACAAGAAGCCATGACCGTAACAAAAACTCTTCCCGTCTCCATCTTCCTATTTATGCACATAAGTTTTTTGTGTTTATATCTGTATAAAAATAGAAATATAATTGATTGTGATTCCTGCCTTCTTTAGCAATAAATAATGTTATTTTACATACCTATCAACTCTTTGGGGGAAAGATCTGATCTCATTAAAGAGACACTTCCATTAAAATTTTACTTGTTATTTTTAATAATTGTCAAGAGTTATAATGTACTAGAGTTATAATGTATAGAGTTATAATGCTGTTTTGATCAATTATAATGATTACTTGACCAAAATGAATTAAAAAAACACTAAAGCCTTAAAGTTGTAGGGTTTAAAGAGATGATTATGTGGCCTACAGTAGTGCATACCTGTAATCTCAGCTACTTGGGAGGCTGAGACAGGAGGATCACAAGTTTGAGGCCAGCCTCAGCAAAGTAGCTAAACCCTGTCTCAAAATAAAAAATGGCTGGGAATGTAGCTCAGTGGTAGAGCATTTGCCTCACATGCACAAGGCCCTGGGTGCAATCCCCAGCACCGCACACACATATACAAAAATCCAGTTCAGAAAGTGGAAAATGGCAGAAATAACCAGAAAAAAACAACATATGACTGCAGATCTGGGTATGGAATGTTTGGTCAGCAAAGTGGAAAATATGATACGTGGAACACACTGGAACCAGCCCTTTACTTGGAGAAATAGTTACAACAGGAGAGAGGCCTGGGATCTATAAGCAAGGACATGCTACATGGGACCCTATGTTTCTAATGGCATCCTATGAGTAGGACAAATATAATGTGGGTGATGACAGCACAGACTGGTCTGTTGCTGAGTGAAGTAACATGTTTTCTATGAGGACTTGACAGAAGTTCCAGATGTCTCTTGTCTGTTGTGCCAACTATTGGCTTGGGTTGAACTCATGGAAGACTTGCCTATCAAATGTGGGAAGGTCACAGAGATGGAGAAAACAGCTTATCTCATAAAGTGGGGAAAAAAAGATTTCACACATTCTCCCCCACCCCCACCCCCAAACCTGAGCTGGAGTGAAATCCTCAAGCTTAATATATTTAGTTCACATTTAGGCTAAAGGGAACATGGTTTGATAGTAATTTTAAAAGGTCTAGCAGGTTGTAGTGGCTCAAAGCTTTAATGTGTATAACTAGTGTTGGTTTAAAAAAAAATAGGCGGAGGTTGGGGGGATGCCAATTGGGATTGCATTATTTTTGAAAGCCCAGAGAAATGGTGCCACCTTTCTTTGCTTGGGTCAGACTGCATGTGGAAATCAATGGCCAAGTGTTTTTAAAAAGAAAAGTGATAATCAAAACTCTCATGAGTTGACTAGAAACCAGGGAAGTCAAAGGAATTGGTGTGTGTTGATAATGACTATGAAGTCATTAAAGCAGCCAACTTATGCTGCTTTAAGCAAAAATGGGGAAATCATAAGATTTGGGGGGTCCCCATGGAAGCCAAAAGGGAAATACATTAAGTCCCAAGAAGGACCAGAGACAAACTAGACAATGAATAGTTCTGTGTTCACCACCGATTCCCCTCTGAGGAAGACATTGGATAACATTGTTATCCACGTTGACAGATGAGGAAACCAAGGCATACAGAGTTTAAGTGATCACCAGGGTTTTCTGGTTCTGTAGCCAGCACCCTACACTACCTTTACTGAGCCTTTTGACTTTTTTATTATTATTATTTTTATTTTATTTATTTATTTTTATGTGGTGCTGAGGTTCAAACTCAGTGCCTCCCACATGGTAGGCAAGTGCCTAGCCCCTTTATTGAGCCTTTTAAACAAACAGGTAAGAACCTGTTTCAAATGATGTGCATCAGAATGAAATATGATAATGGATGGGAGTCTTCAAGGAGAGAGTGATTTCCTGAGCGCCTCTGTGCCCCTCATCACAGTCAGTTCCCACAGCCATCCATCATGGGCGGGGAACAAAGTACACACTCATTGCTGATGGGCAGCCTGAGATTTGGGGGTGGGAGTGGCTTGCCCAAGCTCACCCAGCTAAGAAGTGCTGGACCCATGGCCCAAACCAACATCTTTCCTCTCCAGGCCACATCCTGTTACTAACCATAGTCTCTCTCCTGCCAAGGGAGTGTTATCAGCCTCCCTATAATGGGAACTGGCAGGCGCCCAGTAGCAGGGGGGGCTTTGCCGCTGCCTTCCCTGCTTCTTACAGCAGCTTGCAAGGTAGCTTTTACTGCTCCACTTCAGTGTGCAAGAATCAGGCTTGAAGAGGGGCCTGGAAAACTGGCCAGAAGTCCCACTGCCAGTGAGCTGCAGACACCTGGACTCAAATCAGAAACTGACCCCAGTGCAGCGCCACAGCCCAGGCCTTTCCCCCAGGCCTCATGCACTTTGCAAGTAAAAGCTTCCAAGAGGCCACTTAGGATGGATACTGTAGTGGACAGCTTTTGATTTTTGCTGGGATACTTCAGAAAAATAGGCACTGACCAGAAATCAGAAAAAGATTTTAAATTGCAGTTTTTTACAACAGTGAAAAAAACCTCTGGGGATTGGGGTGATTTTGAGAACACTTGAAACAATAATAAAGAAGCAGGGTGCCCCTTCCCACACTGGCACCTTTGGCATTCTGCCTTTGGGATCCAATAGCCGTGGCCCTATGGAAACAGCAGCAGCCCTGAGGCGAGCCTCCCTGCTGGGTCTTTGTGTCTTCTCACTGTCCCAGTGTTGTAGTGCTGTCCAAGGGCCACGGTCACATGGCCCCTGGCTCTGCTGCAAGGGCTGTAGGGTTTTGTTTTCTGTAGATGAAGACAGGCTGGCACAGAGCAGCAGCCACTCTGCTCGTCTGAACTGGACATGATGTTGCTCATAAGGGCCACAGCAGGCCACAGACCATGGGGGCCGAGCTCACTAAGGGTCTTGGAGGCCGTGGGGGGCAGAACTGGCTACAAAGTTTGTGGGACATGGTGCAAAATGAAATTGTACAGTTTATGTTAAAATTTATTAGAAATGTCAAGACCCCCAACAACAGAGCCTAAATTTAAGCTCCCAACCTTCTGAACAGGACTTCATGGCACATGCCCAGGAGGCCAGCCCATAATGACAGGGGGCCTGCCCCCTTTTGGCTGAAAGAGAGGGGGTCTGTCAATTTTTCTGATCCTGGAGATGAGGTAAGGGTGCACTTCCAGTTGGAATCAGTGTGATTTTTTTAGCCTCCCAGAATGCAAATGCCCCTCCTCTCTGGCTGATCTTTCTCCAGGGTTTACAGTGGGTCTTTGGCAATCAGGTGTGCTACCGAGTGAGTGTGTGGGTATGTCCCTGTGGATATTTGTTGAAGGACACACATTTCAGAACATGTCCAAGATGGTGAAATCCACTTGTGTTCACTAAATGTTGTGCCAAATCCTGTGCTCACCCAGGATGTGAAGGTGAGGCCCACGAGCAGGGGCTCAGGTTCCTGTGCACAGAGGCACCATGCAGATGAATCAACCCCGTATCATGACCAGGGCCATGACAAAGAGGGCGTGGTGCTTCAGGAGCCCCAAGGAAGAAAGGCCCAGCATCACAGAGGGTGCTGTCTGGACGGAGGCATAGGAAGAGAGGGTGGGTGCTCCCACGTGCTCCCACTGGTGGGCGTAGCAGGTGCAAAGCAGCAAGATGAGTCTGCTGGGTGTGAAGAGCATCGCCCTTTGCAGCTGAGGGCGATTTCCATGGAAGTAAAAGGAGGGGCTTGGGGACTGAGGGGAGAGTGGCTCCCAGGCCACACTGATAGGACATAAGTGCCAAGCTAAGGGGCCTGGCCACTGATTGGCAGGTGGGTTCCATTCTTAGATGCCACAGGTTAGGAAGGCTAAGAACAACTACCTCTCCAGGAATAGGGATGGCTAGACAGGAATAATCTGGAATTCACTAGGAGAAGAGGGATTAGGAAAAGCAGACAGTGTTCAACTCTCAGCAGGTATCTCAGGTCTGGCCTGGGGTTGCATTTGTGGCCCGTGTGGGGAGTGGGGGACAGCTGGCTCATGTGCATCTCATTTCTTCGTATTTGCAGCTTCCTGCAGAAGTGGTGGAGGCTCAGGCAGTGACTTGTGGTCCCATCCAAACAGGGGTGGCAGTTCTGTGATCACCCTATGTTCTCTGGCTTAAGACTTTTGTCCAACAAGAAGTAGGAGAGGTGGCAGGAAGTGAGGGACAAGGATATCCTCAAAGAAGAATCCTCCTTAAATAAAACTCTGAAGTTTTGTTTAAATTCAACGAGGTTCTCTTTGTGAGGGTTTAGGGGCTCCTCTACTTTTCCTCCCCTGGTCCAGCAAGGCTGAGTGGACCCAGTCACTGGAAGTCGTTCTCATTAGCAGGTCCTTGACAAATCAGTATGCAAGTGGCTGGCTGTACGGCTAGCACCACCACCCAGCACAAGAGGCCCAGTGAGCGCCTGTCACCGGCTTCCCACAGCACCCCCCAACCCCACCCCTTTCCACTCTTCTGGGCTCTATACCCTGTGCCCACCCCAGCTCTTTGTTTTGTTGAGATCTGAGTGGACTTGGCATCCGCATAGCCCCAGGGTTGGTGGGTTTGGGTGGGGGCTGGGCAGCCCTTTTGAAAGGGTAGACCAGGCCAGCAGCCCTGCAGGGAACCAGGAGCATCCCAATGAGATTAAATCACCAGTCTGGGCAGGAGGGCCACCTCGTCTGTGACCTTCCTCTGGAATCTTGGAATGGGAGACCGGAAAGTCTCCAGGAACATGGGGCCCTCAATATCAGTGTTGAGTTGGAGTCCTCAGTCGCCAGGGGAGAGCAGCAAAGAAGCCGTGTTCCAGCTGCATTCCAGCCTCTCTGGAGTCTTTCCCAATTCAGTAGGGAAACCAGACTCTGAAAGGAGGGGTAAGCGAGCAGATTTACTTGCTGTTCCCCAAGTATTTTTTATAGCATTCCTGTGTCCAGCAGGAGCTGGGGCCCGACAGGGTGTCCTCCGGTTATCAGGCAACAAGCTGCAGGCCCCGCAGTGAGGGGTCACACAGATAGCACTTCTGTTGCAGCAGAGCTTTGGCTGAGGAGGGCCGTAAGGACCTAAAGGTCCCTTGCCTGCCCAGCTAGGCAGGTGGTGTGAGAGTTTCCACATCCTGGGCAATGTGGGTGGCAGCTCAGATTCAGAGGTCCCCTGACACCTCTACTTACCCTGGACAAACACAAGCCACTGGCAAGACTTGGGAGATTTGGTTCTCTCTTTCCTTACTTTATCCCTCTGCATGGGGCCGTCTGCGTGAGGGAAGGTTATACTCACAGATGGACACTCCCCACAGTCTCTCAGTAATTAAATGCCTTTGGCTCTTATTCCACTTATGACCTACAGATACCTTTATGGGGCAGAGGCGGTTCATTTAACAAGCAAGTCGTAGCTCTAGGATGTTGCAGCTTCAAGTACATCACTTTCTCTCTGGATTTCTCGCTGGGTCTCAGAGAGAGGGAGACATTGGCCCCTGGAAGGCTGTTTCCCTCTTTATTTTTGACTATTTAGGGACGGGGGGTACGCGGGTTGAAAACAGGGCTTTGTGCATGCTAGGCAAGTGCTCTACCACAGAGCTACATCCCCAGCCCTTCCCTCTGCATTCCTGATGGCCCTGTGGATGATACTGGTTGAACAAAGCCCCCAGCCCCTTCCCATCTACAGGCTCAAATCATTCCTAGCCCTAGGCAGGTGGTTTGGAGAGGCCTCTGGCCACCACTTTGGGGTCACTATAGTAAGAAGTCTGGCACTCCCTTTGTGCCCAGATCTGGACACTAGCTTCCACCTTGTGCCTCCTTCTAGCAGACAATGTGCTAAGGAGAACCCACACCTGATTCTAGGCGAGCCCCATCCCCACCTGCTGTGTGCCCATGGCCAAGTTCACAGTCCTTCCAACCCTGTGGTCTCCCTGGTGAAATGAGGAGGCCTCCTAAAAGAGATGCTTGAGACACTGCTCAGCACAGAGCTGGCTGCATAGTAGGCTCTCAGCCACTGCTGATCATTAATGTCATCAACAGATTTCAGTGCCCAGCAGATCCCCATCTTGTTTCCTCACCTTGAACGTGCCTCTCTGGACCTCAGGGCCAAGAAACTCAACCTTAAACTTGTTTTTGCCAGTCTTTCCCCTTTTGTCCCCCACCTCCCTACCCCATGGAGGGTGAAGTAGGGTAGTCTAGCCTACGTACAGCTGGCTGGTCATCCCAGTGTCCCCTGACCCTGTGTACCTAGCCATTGTTCTTAGGACACTTACCCCAAAGTACCTCCTACCAGTGTCTTGACCAGTGCTGAACTCGGGGTGTCTGTTGCTGAGAGCTTTGGGCCATGATTTGCTCCCAAGTAGGACTTTTTTCAGGACCCAGAGAGTCTAATCCATCCTGCTCAGTCCCACCACCCTGAGTTTCCCTAAATGTCACAGAATCTTGGGAAGAAATCTTTTTGAGGTAAAGCTCTCAGAGTGATAAGGATCTGTAAAATATTCAGAAATAGGCAATTTTCGGTGTTCTCAAAAAATAACATTATTTCCTGAAGAGTGTCCAGTAAAGTAAAATAATTGGTAACTTTTTAAGATCAGCCTTACTCCAACCCAAATGATAGAATTAAGAATAGCAATACTGGGGCTGGGTTGTGACTCAGTGGTGGTGCACTTGCCTAGCATGAGTGAGGCACTGGGTTTGATTCTCAGCACCACATACAGATACATAAAATAAAGGCCCATCAACAACTAAAAAATATTAAAAATAAATAAATAAATAATTTGAATAAAAAAAAATAGCAATACTGACAGAGGTTCCTAACCCACCCTGAGTTTCAGAATGATTTAAGAAATTTTTTTGGAAAAAGACATCCAGGCCCAGACACAGTGGGCCAGTTTGTGGGGTGGGGCAGGCTGGGCCAGGCCTGTCTGTTGGGGAGCGGGGAGAGCTCCACCCGGGAGAAGCACTTCTCCTGGTGTTTCACCATGCCAGCTCCCTGTCTGGATTTCCATAGAATTTACAGTGACTGCTCTGAGGTCCTTCTGGGTGATTCCATCTCCACATGGCTCCTTCCCTCAGTGCAGGGAGAAGCAGAGGGTGGGGAGTCAGGCTCTAGTTCCTAGAAGAATCAGAGTGAGCCTCATCCTTGCTTCCCTCCCCCTCCAGCCTGGTGGGCAGCTGATAGGCATCTCTGCCATCCCACCCTCTGCCGCCCTCTTAGGTCCACCTTGTTGCCTGACTCCAAGGCAACCTGTGAGAAGCTCCCAAGTTAGAAACACTTCCTTACATGATTTTTTTTTTTTTTTTGGCCGTATTGGGAGTTAAACCCAGAGGTACTAAACCACTGAGCTACATCCTGGCCCTTTTTTTTTTTTTTTTTTTGATACAGGGTCTTGCTAAATTGCCCAGGCTGACCTCAAACTTGCAATCCTCCCACCTCTACCTTCTAAGTAGCCGGGATTATAGGTGTGCACCATCAAACCGGCCCTTACATGCTTTGTTTAAAAAGAAAGTCTATCCACATTGTGGCATGTTTCATCAGACAGTGACTCTACTGTAAGACCTAAGGGCCATGGGCTGACTGGGCAAGAGGCAGCTGTGGGAACCACTCCCAGAGAACTGACGCATGGGGTGGAGGGCAGGGTTCAGGTGTGTCTGTGGAGATCTCAGGCATCAGCCCATCCCTTCTCTAGCAGGGGATGAGCCCCTGCCTCAGAAGGACAGGCAGGTGCCACTGACCTCCTGCATCCAGCACCATGGCCTGGCATAGACCATGCCCACGAAATATTTGCTGGATGAGGTGTTTTTGAAATGGGGAGGACAGAGGTGTACTGCAGTGGAGGTGGGAAGAGGGTAAGATAGAAGTGAAAAGGGAGAACAAGAACTGTGTCAACTCAGTGACCCCTTGTGCCTTTCTTGGATGCTCCTTTCCTCGGGGTGGTGAGGCCAAGATCATATAATAAATGCTCAAGAACCCAAAGAACCATGCGCAGCGCCTGTCAAGTGTGAGCCAGCAGCTACAGGGGCTTGCCCATCCTGTGGCCTCCTCCGCGGCTCTGCGGCTTCTCCCTGTGTGTAAGGAGGGGCTGGGCCTCCTCCGCACCACTGAGTGGTTGGGAGGCTCAGGTTTGCCATGGCCACAATGTCCCCTCTCTTCCCTTTTCCCAGGCGTCCTTTGAGGTGTCAGTGGAGGCACGGAGCTGCCCCAGCAGACCCGTGGAGCACGCGTTCACCCTGCGGCCTGTGGGGTTCCGGGACAGCCTGCAGGTGAGGGTCACCTACAACTGCACCTGTGGCTGCAGTGTGGGGCTGGAGCCGGACAGCGCCAGATGCAGCGGGAACGGGACCTACATCTGCGGCCTCTGCGAGTGCAACCCCAGCTACCTGGGCACCAGGTGCGAGTGCCAGGAGGGAGAAAACCAGAGCGTGTACCAGAACCTGTGCCGGGAGGCAGAGGGCAAGCCGCTGTGCAGCGGGCGTGGCGAGTGCAGCTGCAACCAGTGCTCCTGCTTCGAGAGCGAGTTCGGGAAGATCTATGGGCCTTTCTGCGAGTGTGACAACTTCTCCTGTGCCAGGAACAAGGGCGTCCTCTGCTCAGGTAGGCGTCCCTGGCCAGAGCTTTGCTCTGAGCCGCACCCAGGCCCAGAGGCTGCTAGGATATCTTACCAAAACCTGCCTGTCTCTCAGGGTGGCTGTGAGAAGTGTCACTGCCACAGCTGGGAGGTGACAGTGGACAAGCCTTGCCGACAGCTAGGCACAGGGGTGGGGACCTGTGCATGGAATACAAAGCAGAAGGCACTGCCACATGGCGGAGCTGGGCCTCTGGGTCATCCAGCCCACGCTGCACTTCAGCAGGACTTGCCTGCAAGACAGGGGAGATGTTCAACTTCCCTTGATCACCTCCTGGGACAGGGCTGTTTATGGCCTGGGCTGGTTATGGCCTCCCCTTGTTAAATATAGTATTCATTTCTTATTGCTTCTCTAACAAGTCACCATAAAACCAAATGACTTAAAACAGTTATTTTCTTTCAGTCTGAAATGGATCTTATTTGGCCAAAATCAAGGTGTCCTCAAGGGTTGCTTTCCTTCCAGAAGGTCTAGGGGAGAATCCATTTTTTTAACCTCTTTTCTGGCTGCCAGAGGCTGCCTGTATTCTTGTTTGTAGCTCCTTCCTCCATTTGCAAAGCCAGCCACCTCAGGTCTTCTTCTGACCTGTGACCTCTGCTTCTGTTGTCACATCTCTTCCTCTGATGCCCCTGCCTTCTTTCATAGACCTTGTGGGTATCTTCGACTCTGGATAACCAGGACAGTCTCCCTTCTCAAGTTTCTTAACTGAATCACGGCTGCAAAGTCCCTTTACCATGTAAGGTAACAGTCGTGTAAAGTGCCAGGGACTAGATAGGCCATCTCGGGGGCTGCTGTTATTCAGGTCAGAGGCCTGGGTTAGACGTCCTTCTTTGCATCAAACAGAAACTTGTTTCTCAGTAACTTCCACCTACTGATTCACGTTCTAGACCCTCTTCCACATGGCGACCTGTCAGATGTCTGAAAGCTGCTTTATGCCTCGCTGTTGGCTCTTATCCAGGCTGGACTCTCCTTTCTCTGAGGGCCCTGTCACTTGTTCAGGCTTCACAGAATGGAGCACATGACTTGTCGCTCTGGATAATGAAGGCTCAGTGAGAGCATTCACTTCCTGTGGTGCGGACACTCTGCTGCCATCCTGCATCCTAACCCTAACCCTAACCCTAACCCTCTTTTCTTTTCCATTCAACAGTCACATTATACCCTTGAGCTTGTTTTTAACTTGATACCCAAAGTTTGAGGTATTTATTTGTTTATTTCAGTACTGGGGATGGAACCCAGGAGTGCTCTACCTCTGAGCTACATCTCCGGTTCTTTTTAATATGAGACAGGGTCTTGCTAACTTGCCTAGGCTGGCCTTGAATGTGGAATTTTCCTGCCTCAGCTTCCCAAATAGCTGAGATTATAGGCATGCACCACTGTGTCTGGCTCTAGCCAAGCTAAGTTTTTATTGTGTGATGTTTGAGCACTTTTATTTCTTTTTAATCTAAGCACAGGGGTTTTCACTGATTCCCATTCAATTACAAGTTGGCAATTCCTATTCTGGAGTTACATTCTGATGAGATACTTTAAAATTGTATCTCAACAGAGCCATTTCCACTCAGCACCATGCCACCTGCAAATAAGCAGAAAATTTTTACATAGGACTATAGTTTACTCTATGGATTGTTTATTCTGTGGCTTCTTGGATTCCCTCCTTGAGAGTAGTCTTCTAGTTGGGAAGGGTTGACTTGAAAGGAACTTGGGATTAAGCTGTGAAAGAAGGCATGAAGTAAGGCGTGTGTGTAGCAAATCAGGAACCTGTAAACAACATGTCCCCTGAGAGGAGTACCTATCCTCCCATGGAAGAAACAAGTGCCGAGGGCTGCAGACGTGGGTGAGCAAGGGAGGCTTCCTGGAGACAAGTGTGCGTACGCCCAAGGGTGTGGTGGTGGCAAAATGCTCCAAACTGGAACTGCCCTGGAAAGTACAGGACATTTGAATGTCATAGAGTAAAGTGGGTGGACCAGTTAGGATTCTGTAAAATATGCAAAACTTTTTCTCCATCCTGGTGATGATGGATTGGTATGAGCTGGACGGTTCTGTCTGGGTTAGCAGGAAAAGCATGAGCTCAGGAGCAGCAGGCCTCTTGCCTGAATCCCCTAACGCCACATGCTGAGGTGAGACTTTGGGCACAGAGTTGTTGTAAAAGAGGAGAAGGTACATGAAGCACCTCACATGTTGCTTGGCACAAAAGAGGGGCCCACCCACCACTGGTTCCTGCACAAGTCAGTGCCACAGACCCTGGGGAACTGCAGCTGATGCCCAGTGTGCAGTGGTGCCAGCCCTGCCCGGTGAATCCCTAGGCTTTGCCTAAGGAAGCCCAGCGTGGTGGGATGGAGTTTCCATTCCACTTAGCAGCCACAGTAAGAGTTCCTTGAAGCCCAGCTGTGTCGGTAATGGACTTGGAGCAGTGTTCATCTTTAAACAATGATTATCAAACATCCCTGTGTGCTCCCTCCTTCTACCTCAGGAGCCAGAAATAACCCTCCGAAATGTTTTCGCCCAGAAGTTTGTTCACATCCATGCCGCCTGGAGCAAATTTGCCTGTGCCTACTCCATTTCCAGTTTATCACCCTCAGACTTAGGTTATGCTAGACGTTTTGTTTTCCCCTTTCTAAAATGGGACCAACTCCATTCGGTTCTGCAGTACTTTGAGAACAGAAGAAGGCATGGATGAAGGACCTGAATAGAACACAAAGCCCGGCAGGCACAGGGCAATGGGTGGATGAGGTGTGAGTGGCCCTCAGTGGAGAAAACTTATCATTTTGGAAACAAATATTCTGAGGTTGAGTGAGCACATACATTTTTGGTTCAACCAGTGTAATCTATAGTTCTTCTGAGTTAATTTTACATTTCAGAATTCTACCAAACCCTGTGTCTAAATTCTACCCCTGGGTACCCACTCTCTCACATTCACTTATACAATCCTGTGACCTGGAGGCTCTCACAGATCATGGGGTGGGGAAATTGGAGGGCTGCCGGACCCCGGAGCCTCCCATGTGAGTGGTGCTTCAACTCTAACTTCCTGGGATTGCTGAGATGGAGCCCCCCACCGCCATCCCTATTGGAAAAGCCATGTTTATTCAGTAACGAAAACTTGCAAAATATAAGGAAACTGATGGATGTGCCATCAAATGGGGCCATCTGACTCCTTCATGGTGAGCAGGATTGATGTGGACCATCTGGCAAACTAGTCAAGGGCATTTTTTTTCACCCTCTCTGTTTCACGTGCACCCTTTTAAAGTGTGTGTTTAATCAAGAGAACAACATTTCCAAGAAATTAACGGGCTATTCTTTGATCCAGAATATTCTGAAGAATAGAAATAAATTTTTTAAATCATCCATAATTTTCATCACTCATATTTTACAAGGTTAGTTTCTTTCCTTCCAAACTTTTTTTCTTTTCCTTTTTTTTGTTTTGTTTTGTTGAGGCACAAGCAGAGATTTATTTAGGAGAGCAAAGATCATGCACTCAAAGGGAAAGAGACAGTGCAGGCTATCTTAGAGAAAAAGTTTCCTTCCAAACTTTTTCCTAAGTTGGGGAGGGGGAATACATATAATTTCATATCTTGCTTTTTTTCTGGATAATATTACATCTAGAGAAGCATTGGAAGTTGAGTTGCTTTGGTAAATCATCTACTAGAACATTTTGACTTTCTTTCCATTGCCCAACCAACTAGCCTTTTTTACCCCCTTACTTTAAAAGCCACAGGTAGTTGACGTGTACTGCTATCCAAGTCTCCTGGAGAAAATGGTTTCTGGAATGAGATCATTGCTGTTAATTTAAGAAGGACTGAAAGCCGAGCCCAGCTCCAGGCAGGACTTGATGACACAGATTCCTGCCACGGCTCCCCACACGCTGTGGCGGGCTCTTCCTTGTGTCTCAAACCCTCCAGCTCCTTCTGGAGGCCTCTGTGAGTGGGGGCGGAGGAGCTCCTGCATCCACTTGTTGGGCATCGTGGTCAGGGGGGCTCCTGCACCATTAGAACTGTGCGAGTTGGTTTCGAGCCCTGGGTTGCTGGGTCGTTTGGGGCATTTGAGGGAGCAAAGCCTATTTCCCAACCACCACTTTGCTGCTGCAGATGCTGACTCAGGCCGACCGCAGCTGACCTCAGCATCCTCTCGCAGTTCTTCTCACCCCTCTCCCTGGCGCCTGTTCTAGAAGAGGATCGTGTGGTTGTGGTTTGTTTTCAGAGGGGAACTGAGGGGTTCGCTTGTAAAAGCCGCTGAGGCAGCAGCAGAATCATTAGGGACACCCAGAGAAGCTCCTTCCACCCCTCTGGCTTGCCTTCTACAAGAGGCTTAGAGTCCTTGCACCCTACTGAGAGCCAGAACTGCGGGCGAAATGCAGTGATCACAGATTTGGAATAGGTTTTCTGTCATAAAAATGAGTCGTGAAGCAGATCAGACGCAGATCTGGAAGCAATTGAACAGCTCTGTGGTTGCTTTGTGACTCTCGCTGTGGGAACACATGTGTAATGGGTCCCTGGAGGCTCCACTGGTTTCTGGAAACAGCGTAACATAGAGAATGGTTCTGTCCACAGTCTAGTTCTGCATGTGAGGGGAGCTTTATGGGCTATTGTGAGGGTTTCTGTTTCTTTGGAGTCTTGCAAAAATGTTGATGCTTTAAAGTCCCTTTGAATATGAGAAGTAGGACATGGTCGGTTTAGTTGTTTATAATGTAATAAAAAATTCTTGCATCAACTATGTTCTTTGCTGTTTGTATACAAACAATGCACCTTAGCCCAGGAACTTCTGCAATCTCAGTGTATAAGTGACCACACTGTATAATTTGCTAATCGTTAACCTACCTTTTAGGTTTCATATAATGAGAAAATTTAAATGAAAGATGTAGAACTCTGAGCAGGACACTTGACTGTGAGACCCCAAAAGTACATCTAGACAAGCTTACATCATATGTAGCTTTAAATTACTATGTGATGGGCAATTAGAGGTCAAGGGTCATCTGTAGCT